AAAGAACTAGGGAGAACACTGTTAAAACGATTTCTGTCCTTATCGCGTTCAAAAACAGCTGTTTTTCGGATTCCTGCGCTCAAAAATAAGCCGTCCAGCGCGCCTTGCTTGCCTTCCAGCGTTTCTTTTGTCTTGTTCTGGGAATCGACTATAGCAAGTATTTCTAGTATATGTTGTTTTGTAGTAGAATCACCATCGCCCAAACTGAAGTATTAAGGCGAAGTCTTCTAGAGTGACATCTAACTCAATGAAGAAAAAGAAGGAAGAAATAGTTTTGCTCAATTCTAGGAAATTACTGAGAGAGGAGAGACTGTTGTCTCCCTCACAGTGGACATTTTGGGACGAGCAGCGGCGACAATACGTGAAGATCCTGCTGCGGAAAGCGATGGCGTACCCATCTGGGGGGTTGTTGAAGGTAAATCTCCTATGTTTTCAATGCGCAGCAATTTCTATCAGCACTGTTTGCAGGAGCTGTGTCTGCGCTTCATCAGCTTGCGTCGCATCCCTCCGTTGCTTCTCAGCTATGTGACGACCCATCATTCATAGCACTCATCGTCGAATTTCTTCAAAGAAGCGATGTAGGCCGGCTTTGACTAAGTACTCAACTAATAATTTTGCTTAGGTATCCGGTGCGGAAGACGAGTTACTTGAACGTGAACTATTGGGATTGTTGTACCAGTTGAGCAAAACTCCGGAAGGAGCTCGAACAGTGGAAGAAGCTGGTAGTCAAATATGATTTCTATGAGTGTAATCATCACATTCTATGCGCACAGGTGTTACTCCTACTCTCGTCGAAGCCATGCGCTCAGAGCATAAATCTGTGGCCACCTATGCTTCAGGTGTTTTGAAGAATTTGGAAAATGACAAGCCTGCACCTTACAGACAGGTGGAAATTGTAATGACTATCCTGAATTCAGGGCGTCTCTTTCCTTTTTTCTCTTGCAAAAGATTCACTTGTAATTTTCTAGGATTTGGATGCTGAGTTGTCTTCGGGATGGCAAAGAGATGGCTTGGAGCCAGAGCTGTTTGGAGAAATGTACCCGGTTCATGGCATGGAACGTATCGACCATTTTCCTACACCTCCCAATAACAGCAGCTGGTTTGATACGGACCTCTGATTCCATAATTCCTA